AATGGTCATTTTAATCATTGACCGTATGTGGGACATTGGCTGCCACGTTTCACCTAAAAAATATGCAGTCAATTCACTTTATAGTATATTCTGTGAAGCGCTTTGAGATGTCTTGAAGATGTGATAAGGCGCTATATCAAATGCAAGGATTTGCCTCCCTGTCTCTGACTCGAATTGAATCATCTCTTAGCACCGTGGAGCTCCTCACCTCCCTCAGGCTGCCCTTCCTCCCACACTCTGCGAGCTTTCAAACCCCAAGTCACCTAAGCACTGCTTAATTTATCTGATTATGTCATCGTAGTTAACATAATCATGCAAAGAATCAGAGGGGAGATTAGAAAACATTTCTTCACACTGGGGGTGGTTAGAATGTTCAGCTCCCAAGCAGAGCAGGCTCACTCAGTCCTGGAAAAATGTTTTGAGACGTTCCCCCAACATGAAATGCCCTATATTACATGAAAATTGGTGATACTAATAAATAGTATATACATTTGACACAGCTTCTTTCACACCGGGAGAGTATCCCAAATTGCTTCGCACAATTTACTGTAAAGTGGAGTGACTGTGTTTTGTAGTCGAACGCAGCAGCCAATTTACGTCCCACAAACAACAACGTACCACAAACAGCCATGTAGTGAGTGATCAATTTTAATTGAAGGTTTGTTGGCCAGGATATCAAGAGAGAGAAACTCCCTTCTCTTTTCAAATAGTCCCGTGGGATCTTTAACGTCTATATGAACAGGGCCTTGGTTTAACATCACATCCGAAGGACGGCACCTTTGACAATGCAACACCCCTCAGCACTGTCCTGGAGCGTCAACTGGATGATATGAATTCACAAGGTGATGAGGGGAAGGAGAGGAACCCTGGTTCCCTTTGCGAAGGCCATGATGATAACAGAGGAATGACAGCATATTCACACCCTGGGTCCTGGTACTGCGTGACCACATCTCGTTCACTACGCCGGAATGTTCCATAGTGTGGGTTCATGCAGTTCGCTCGTTCAAACAATTGGTTTTGAAAATCCCTGTAATCTGGGCTCCCGAGGCCCCAGTGTGGCAAACGTCTCCATCAATAACAATCCTCAATTTGCGGAGCTTTCTTAATTGTCTGATAACTGAAATTGTACTTAATAATCTAATTGTCCAGGCCTTTGGGTGTCATTAACAATTCAAGAGCTCAAATTACAGAGCTAATTGTACAGAGAACAGTTGTTTTACTTCTCTACAAAGCAAGAACCGCATCCAGTTTCACGTGTTTTCTTGGTCACATCCTTCACTGGATGAACAAGACACTGACCTTGAGTTCACAGCCTTCAAAGGTAATAACAATAATAATAATAATCCTTGCATTTGATAGTCTTATCACACTGTTGAGATGTCTCAAAGCGCTTCACAGAATATACTGTAGAGTGAATTGACTGTATATTTTGTGGGTGAAATGCAACAGCCAATTGCACACAGCAGTGTCCCATGCACAATCGTGGATTGAGTAACCAAATTTTTTTAAAAAAGGGATTATTACCCCCGGAAAGCAATCCGGCAGTCGACTAACAACCGGGTTCCTACTTATTGCTAGGTAAACAGATGCGTGTGGAGTAAGGAAACTTGCTTAAGGTTTCGCGCTGCCCGGGAATCGAACCCAGGTCCTCTCGCTTTCAAGGCGAGTGCTCTAACCAATACGCTACAGGGCTCCAAGTGGCGGTAAACAGTGAAAGGGTTTGCAGAGGAATGCAGGAAGACAAACAGGCTTGCAGCAAGGCCAGATAGATGGCAAATTTTGTTTAATGTAGCAAAAGTGACTGTCAGCCTGGCTCAGTTGGTGGCACTCTCATTTCTGAGAAAGCAGATTGTGGCCCCTTATCAAGACTGAGCTACCGTCCTTTAAGCTTACAATCTAGGCTGACACTCCAATGCAATGCTGGAGGAGCACTGTGTTGTCAGAGGTGTCGTCCTTCAGTTGAGACATTAAACTGAGGCTCCTTCTGCTTGTTCAGGTCAACGTTAAAGATTTGCTACACGAAAAGAGAAGGGAGTTTCTCTTTCCCAACGTCCTAACCAACAATCCCCCCCACCCAAAAAAATTGGTCACTTACTTCATGGCTGTATGTGGGACATCGCTGTGAACTAATTGGTTGCCACATTTCCCTATAATTACACAGTCACTATGCTTAGCAGTAAATCCTGTGAAGCGCTTTGAGACATCCTTCCGATATGATAGGTTCCGTATCAAATGCAAGGATTATTGATAACTGTGGTCCCTTTAGGTCTGCCATGTAACCTTACACACAGATTTAATGATGTCCTCATCAAGGGAAAACCATCTCCCAATATATGCACACGGGCATTTATCGGGAGACGTTTTCCTTGATGACGAAGTCTTCGGGTCCAGGCTATAATCCAAATTCAGGTCCAGGGCCTTAGTCTGAGTCTGCCTGGAACTGTGCCTGGGCCTTCATTGAGTCTACCTGGACCTGAGAATCGGCCTTGCATTGCCTGGGCCTAGCCTGCCTGGGCCTAGCCTGAGCCTGGGTCTAGCCTGTCGGTGTCTTCCCTGACAGAATGGCGTCTTGTCTCTTAAGCCAGCTTCTTTCATGTCAGCTCATTTGCATGTGGGGCATCAATTAGCATGTTTGTTGAGGCTAATTGAATGAAACTCAATCACGGATCGTAATTGCTCGTCTGTGAGAAGAAATGACATTAAGGCAGCTCATTAAGTGATGGCAATAGATGCAACATAATTAGCAGCGAAATGTAAAAACAAGCAGCAACACAGGAGCAAAGGAGTGGATTTATGCACCCGGTCACTTCTCATCTTGATTTGTTCCGAGAGACAGCGAAATTCTACACGTTACATTGGGGGAGGGGGAGCATTTTGGAGAGGTGGGGAGGCAAATGATAATTAACCATGGAACATGCAAACGGCCTTGCAATAACTTCTTTCAAGCTGTTCCAGGGCACAGCATCTCCACCGACCACACTCGGGAAGAACTGTGTCAAGTGGTCTCCAGTGACTTGTTAAGTGTTGTTTGAGCACTTTGGTTTGAATTGCCCTTGTGTCTTGTTAAGATGTTTCTGTTCTGATCAGCGCTCGGCTCCAAGTGACACCATTGATTACAGAGACGACATTTGCACATCAAACCCACCGCTTGCCGGCTCCTCACGCTACGTCTCCACTGGGTTTAGTATCTGCCTGACGGCCGTGGCCTGCAGCCCCACACGCACTCTGCCGCTGCCAACTCTGAGGGTAGATTTGCTCTTCAGATCTAGCAGTTGCAAGTCTTTTGTTTTCATTTTCATAAAACATTAAGTTCACCAATAAGTAAATGTCCTCAGGACTTTTGGTTATGATCTCGCAGTCTGGGCTGACACTACAATGCAGTGCTGGGGGAGCTCTGCATTGTCAGAGATGTTCAACCAAGGTCCCGTCTGTGCCTGTTTCAGGTGGCAGTTAAAGATGCTCTAGCAATCTTGGCAAAAATAAGGGAGTTTCTCTCTCCCGGTGACTTGGCCAACAATCCCTGAGATAAAATTGGTCACTCACTTCATGGTTGTTTGTGGGACATTGTTGTGTGCAAATTGGCTGCTGTGTTTCACCCACAAACATTTAATGTGTCAATTGAATGATGAAACCTCTGATAATGCCGTGCTCCCCCAGTACTTCACTGGAGTGTTGGTCAATACCTTGAGTTCAAAGTCCTGAAGTGGGGCTTGAACCCCCAACATTCTGCCCCAAAGGTGAGAGGACTACCAACCGAGCCAGGCTGACACCGGAACGGGTGCTGGGAAAAGCCAACAATTTGTCTTTGTCGAGCTCTTCTCACACAGAATAAACCTAGGGTTCAAAGCCCATTCACAACAGCCATGGGGAATCAGACAGTGTGGTGAGGAGGAAGCAGGAAATCAACCAAAAGTCATAGCCAGAGAGAATGTATGGGATCAAGTGGGCGGGGGTGATTTATGTTGGGCGGGCATGTCTGGGGGAGGCAGGTGTGTCTTGCAGGGCAGACAGATTGGGGGATGGGGTGTGCCCAAACCATGTGGCACTCTTGTTTTAAAATTCCTCCACTCTTCTGCACCCCCCTACCTCTCTGACCTCCTCCCTCCTCACAACAGTGCCCGTTGCCTTTGCTCCACCGGGTCTGGCCACCTCCTTGTCCCGCGAATCTTCCACTCCACCATTGGCGGCCGTGCATTCAGCCACGAAGCCCTGAGGCTCTGGAGCTCCCTTCCTCACTCCCTTCGCCTCGCGCCCTATATAAATCCAAATTGTTGTTGTTGTTGGCACAGCCACAGCAGGGAACAATGGTTTAAGACTGAAGGCTTGGCCACCGATTGAGGGGTGAGGGGTGAGCATTGCAGATCAGAGTGCAGGGTGATAGGGGGGAAGGAAGTTAGGGTTGGTGGAGCAGAAGTTTCAGAGGAGGGCAAGATGGTGAAGGATTGAGCATCAGGATAGAGAGAGATGGTCAGACCAGGAGCATCAACAACAATAATGTAGTTAAATGCTAGTGAAAGATGACTCAATGTTATAATAATAAAAATAATCTTTGCATTTGATATAGTGCCTTATCGTGTCGTTAGGATGTCTCAAAGCGCTTCACAGAATATATTGTAAAGTGGATTGACTGTATTTTTTGTGGGCGAAACACGGCAGCCAATTGCGCACAGCAGTGTCCCACAAACAGTCTTGGATTGAGTAACCAATTTTGTTTTTTTAAGAGATTATTACCCCTGGAAAGCAATCCGCCAATCAACTAACAACCGGGTTCCTACTTATTGCTAGGTGAACAGAGGCATGAGGAGTAAGGAAACTTGCCTAAGGTTTCACACCAGAATCAAACCCGGGTCCTCTCGCTTGAGAGGCGAGTGTTCTAATCACTGCACTACAGGTTTCCGCATATCTGAGATGTCTGATCTGAGATGTCGCTGGGACAGCTGTAAAGCAGCAGCATGTGAATACCGAGGCTGCTTCTGACAGCTTTTCTCCTTGCCTTGCAGGATTACATGCAGAACGTACATGGTAAGGAGATTGACCTGCTCAGGACCACGGTGAAGGTCCCTGGGAAGCGGCCACCCCGAGCTATCTCCGCCTGCGCCCCCATCTCCAGTCCCAAAACCAACGGCCTCCCTAAGGACCTGAGCAGCTTGCACATCTCCCAAACCTCCGGTGAGTCCTCCCTGCGTCTGGCTCCTGTTTGGTCTGATCAACCACGCTGGCTTGTGAAACAACCTGGATCTGTAACCTTGTCTCAAAGAATTGGAGACAGAGTCACAGAGGCAGATTTCTTAACCAGTTTTGGAAGTAGAGATAGAGAAAAATAATAATAATTCTTGCTAGTACCTTATCACATCATCGAGACGTCTCAAAGAGCTTCACAGGATATACTGTAGAATGGAACGACCATGTATTTTGTGGGTGAAATGCAGCAGCCAATTGCACACAACAGTGTCCCACAAACAGTCATAGAGTGAGTCACTGATTTTAAGTAAGTATGTATGTGTCGCCACTGCCTATACCTTGTCTGAGTGCAGGTAGTGTGGAATGCTGTGTCAATGAGGGGCTTTGCAGCCTCTTGCAGTTCAGATCACTGGTCAAACAGCGTCTCACATGCAATTGGAATAGCACCCTGTATTTTCAGCTATCTGGGAGCTGAACGGAGTGTGTATGACCAGCGGAGAGAGTGTTGCAGTGTGTTTGTGTGTACACATTAGTGCCTACTTACGTACATTAGTGTGTCTGCCTGTATTTTAGTGTACAAGTGTGTGTGCATGTTAGTGTGTGTATGTTAGTGTGTGTGTATGGTGTGTGTATATATTAGTGTATGTTAGTGTGTTTGTGTATGTTTGTGTGTGTATATATGCTAGTGTGTGTGTATATTAGTGTATGTGTTTATAAATGTATTAGTGTATGTTAGTGTGTGTGTATGGTGTGTGTATATATTAGTGTATGTTAGTGCGTGTATATACATTTGTGGGTGTATATATATTACTGTATGTTAGTGCATGAATGGTGTGTGTATATATTAGTGTATGTTAGTGTGTGTGTATATATTAGTGTCTGTTTGTATATATATTAGTGTATGTTAGTGTGTATGTTAGTGTGCGTGTATATATTAGTGTCTGAGTGTATGTTAAGTGGACATTTTTTTACATATCTGAGGAGCTGCCATACAATGCTGGGAATCTAGTTTAAAACTAACTGACATGTGTGGAAGATCTTCCAACAAAAGGCAGAAACTTGAATTCATTCAAACCCTCCCTTCCTGTCTGAATTCCCCTGCTGAGTCTTTTTTGTTTGCTCTTTGTTCCTCTCGGTAACGTGTTATTCATCAGGTGACCAGATTTCTGATTCGCCCACCAGGAGGAACATGGGGGTGTGGGGGGTGTTGCTCATTCACAGGGAGAATGACTGAACAATATTTGCCTCCTTTTAAAAATAACATGCCTGGCTGTGAGTAGTGTGTCAGCCTGGCGCAGTGGTAACATTCTCGTCTCTGAGTCAAAAGGTGGTGGGTTCAAGCCCCACGGTGAGATTTCAAACCACGTAGTCTAAATTGACACTCCAATCCCACACTGGTGGTGTGTTACATTGTCGAAGATGCCGCCCTTCGGATGAAACTTTAAACCGAGATCCCACTGGCTATGGGAGCGTCGAAAAGAGAAGAGAGGTTCTCTCTCCCAGTATCATTGCCAACAATCCCCCAAATAAAATTGGTCACTGCTTGTGGAACATGGCTGCTTGTGGAACATTGCTGCCACATTTCACCCACAAAATACACAGTTTTACAATATATCCTGTGGAGCGCTTTGAGATGTCTCAACAAGGTGATAAGACTCTAAATCAGATCCAAGCATTATTATTATGGAGCCCAGTAGCTCAGTGGTTAGAGCACTTACCTTGCAAGTGAGACACCTGGTTCAATTCCAGGCAGGGCGAAACCTTGGGCAAGTTTCCTTACTCCATACGCCTAATAATAATCCCTCCAAAACAAAACAATAATAAATTGGTCATTTTCAATCCACGACTGTTTGTGGGACACTGCTGGGCGCAATTGGCTGCTGCGTTTCACCCACAAATATACAGTCAATTCACTTTACAGTTTATTCTGTGAAGCGCTTTGAGACGTCGAGAAAACGTGAAAAGCGCTATATCAAATGCAAGGAGTATTATTATTATTATTATTATGTGTTCCCCTCCTCGAGTGAGGAATGAATATCAAAACCCAGTTCTCCTGCAGCAGGTGACTGGCCTGTTCACGGCTCAGTTCCACCACAGGGGACGACCCAATGACTACAGCGTTGGATGACTTGCTGACATTAATCTGAATTTACCATTATTTGTGCAGAACGAAAAACCACCCTCCAGCACGTTATTAGCTTATTTATATTGCTTCTTGCCCCGATCGATAAACCGCGTTGTGCCTTTATGTCATTCGCCTAATAAAACACACCCCACTCAGACAGGGTGACCGCTGACTGCACCGGACTTCTTGTTTGCTTTAATGCTGAATTTATAAAACGAACATTAACGGATGTAAAGTTCACATGTAACTTCAGATCAGTTAGCACTTGCACTGCGCTGCGTGTTGTGAATGGAAAACATCAGACCCCTCCCCACACACACAGTCACAGACGCACCGGTCATGCTGCTTGCATGTGCACACACACGGACACTCTTGATCTCTAACTCTTTCTCAAGTATGGACGCAACACACTGTTGTTTCTCACATGCACGTGCTCTTATTCTCAAGCACACACATGCACTCTTTTTCTCACACATACAGTCGTAACTAATTCTCACACTCAAACCAACACACACACTCTTTTTCACTGTCACTTAAACACATCAGACACTCTCTTCTGTTTTGTCTACTCCTCATTCCCTTGCACACAAACTCTTATGTCTTTATTTTTACATCACACATTCTCTTACTTTCACACTCATCTGTGTCCTCTCTCGTACACACCCACACTCTCATCTGTTTTTCTGTTTCATGCTCACCCGCACACTCCCTCATCTGTCTATTTCTCTCTCGCACTGTCACTTACACACATGCTCACTTTCTCCCTCGTATATCACTTTCTCTCACACTGACTCACACACACAGTCTCCATCATATCTCTCTCTCTCACACTCTCAGTTACACACATGCTCACTCTCTCTGTCTTCTTTCTCTTTCTCTCTCACTTACACACTGTGTCTTTTGCTTATGTACATACACACACGCACACATAGTGCCAGCGAAGGATTATACACGTAACAGTGTTTGATATCTAAAAGCCAGAGAATGTAAGTCCCCTCTGTGCTGACAGTAAGGACTTTGTCCAACCCATAAAACCAAAATAATAGCATGAATATTCAGTGACCTAGAATACTAATTATTGTCATGAATATTAATGCGATCAGACTTTCTTTCCACTCAGTCGGTTCTGAAGCAGCCCATAATGAGAGCAGTTACGAGCGACTGTGGCCACATGACAGCGGCTGGGGTAATAGGGATAGCTTGATTAGCGCTGTTTGCAGAGATGTGAGGGGCCACGTGCTTGTGGGGGTGGGTCTCCGCTGCGTTGTCAAGCACTGGAGACCGTCCGCCTGACTCGGATTAATGAGGCCTGAGAGTGCGTTGAGAACAGCGGCATAAGTTTGATCTAATGCGATCAGTCATTCTTCCCTTGACTGACAGACACAGGGAGGTAATTGGCTGTACAGAGGAGCAGTTCACGGGCACTATTTAAAGAAGCCATGTCCCTTTGTGTTGTGTTGCGTCTGTTACAGTTCAACATGTCAAGAATGAAAGACCCGCTAGAGTCAGAAAGGGTTCTTTTTCCTGACAGGATATTTTTTCATGTTAACTCTGTTGGTTTAAGAGCCTCTTAGAGTCAAGGTGTTAATATTCAGATGGCATGATAAGAGAGCGATCAGCCCTACTAAGGCTATTTGCTTTTGGTTTCATTCTGCTCTGTCCCTGCATAATCTTATCCTCTCACCCTCTTTTCTCCCTACACCAACCCACCCCCTATCTGAACACCGCTCATACTGTCCACCCACACTCCAGGTCAGCTCCAGCACAGGTTAAAGACAGAGTAAAGCTCCGTTGACACTGCCTGTTCACACTCCCAGGTCAGCCACAGGATGTGTTGTTAAGTCGATTGGTGGATCACTTTTCCAGGGGTAATAATCCCTTCAAAAAAAAAAAATTTGAACACTCAATCCATGACTGTTTGTGGGACACTGCTGTGCGCAATTGGCTGCTGCATTTCACCCACAACATACACAATCACTACACTTTACGGTATATTCTGTGAAGAGTTTTGAGATGTTTCAATGACGGGATAAGGCGCTGTATCAGATGCAAGGTTATTATTAATATTATTATTATCTTTAATGCCAGCTGAACAGGCAGAACAGGGGCCTCAGGTTAATGTCACGTCTGAGGGACGTGACCTCCGACAACATAGAGTTTACCCCAGTACTGCCGTACGACCCACCGCCTTATGCCCCATAGGCCAGAGAGAACTGGGCTTGTGCGCAGAGAGGATAGGAGCCGTGAATCGTGGTCCCAAGCATTCTCTTTGCGTTTGGTTTCTTTCCTTGATTCCAAGTGCCCAGTTTTGACAAACAGCTGCCTCTCTGGGATAACCCTGGGAGAACCTCTGTGAGCAGCACATAATCGCATGTAACCAGCGCGGGAGGCTGCAAGGAACAAAATGAGTAAAATGCTACAGTAAATGGAAGGGACAGATTTGATGAGAAATAATGGGTGTTGTTTTTCCTGCTGCAGTCAGGGTCCTGGAAATGTTCTGCACATGTGATTCAGGGCTTTCCTTTGCTGTCTCTCGCTATTTCATTTGAATGAAGGTTCAAAGAGTTCTGAGCACGGTTTATGTTTTACCCAATGATAATGACCGACAGGAGACGAGTGCAGTGCTCTCTCTATCTCCCCCTGACTGTGGCACTCTGTCCTCCCCCTGCTGAATTTTGGGGGGATTTGTTGGCCAGGACACCTTTTGAATTGTGCCACGGGATCTTTAAGTCCACCTGAGCGAGCAGACTGGATCTCAGTTTAATGTCTCATCTGAAGGACGGCACCTCCGACAATGCAGCGCTCCCCCAGCCCTGCACTGCAGGGTCATCTTAGACTGTAAGCTCAAAGTCCTGAGTTGGGCTTTGACCCCACAACCTTCTGACTGAGGCAAAAGCATTACTGACTGATCCAGGTTCACAGATGTATTCTCAGCCATTGAAGGCCACTTGTTTTGGCTGTTGTGGGTCTGCCTGCCTTATGCTGTTGTTTGATGACCCTGGGAGACAGGTTTGGAGGGAGTTGATGGGGGGTGGGGGGCGGGTGGGGGGAAACCAGTTTAAGTGCTGTAGTTACTAAAAATCCATTTGCAAACAGCAGAGCGAGTGCTCCCTGGTGTCGCTACCGGTTGCAGTAGATGTGAGTGGTCAGGCACATCATTAGACGCCTGATGCATTTAACCTTTTCCATGCCGAGCTCAGCCAAGGGCACAAGTTTCATTGCTTCAGGACCTGCGTGGCAGCCTCAGGAGAGGATTAGTGTTAATAATAAAAAATAATAATCATAATCCTTGCATTTGATATAGCGCTTTTCACGTCTTCTCGACGTCTCAAAGCACTTCCCAGAATATGCTGTAAAGTGAATTGACTGTATATTTGTGGGCGAAACACGGCAGCCAAATGCGCACAGCAGTGTCCCACAAACAGTCGTGGATTGAAAATGACCAATTTATTATTGTTCTGTTTTGGAGGGATTATTATTAGGCGTGTGGAGTTAAGAAACTTGCCCAAGGTTTCGCCCTGCCAGGAATTGAACCCAGGTGTCTCGCTTGCAAGGCGAGTGCTCTAACCACTGAGCTACAGGACTCCACGTTAGTGTTAAGGATAATGTGAGTGTAAACAAATTATACTGTAAAGGGCAGGGTTCATAAATGTTAATAACAATCCTTTTATAATAATAAAATTAATACATCAGGAGGATGCCTCAAAGCATGAGCACAATTGCACACAGCAATGTCCCATGAACAGCTATGAAGTAATTGACCAACTTAGTTTGGGAGATTGTTGGTCAGGACAGAGAGAGAGAAACTTTTTTTGAATAGTGCCATGGGATTTCTCTCTCTCTCTCAACCACCTGAACAGGCAGACGGGTCTCATCTGAAGGACAGCACCTCTGACAATGAAATCCCCCCCAGCTCTGCATTGGTTACCTGTGGGGTCCCCCAGGGATCCATCCTTGGCCCCCTCCTCTTTCTAATCTGCATGCTCTCTCTTGGGGATGTCATCCACAGACATGAGGTACATTTCCACATGTATGCAGACGACACCCAACTCTATTTTTCACCTCTCTTTGCGACCCCCAGTCCCTTGATGTTCTGTCAGCCTGCCTGTCAGACCTCAGGGACTGGTTGAGCGCAAATTTCCTTCAGCTGAACGTTGACAGGACGGAAGTCATACTCTTTGGCTCTCGTCAACATCTAAAATCTCACGGCTCTCACCTCCTCCACCTACCTGACCTCCCCCTAAAACTCTCCAAACCCGTACGCAACCTAGACGTCAGGTTTGACCCCCAATTATCCTTCCTCCCCCACATCCAGTCCCTCACCAGCACCGCTTTCTTCCACCTCCGACGTATCGCCTGTCTCCACCAATATCTCACTCCAAAAGCGGCTGAAACCCTCGTCCATGCCTCTGTCACCTCTCGGCCGGGCTATTCAAATGCCCTCCCCTCCACTACCATCCACAAAATCCAGATTATTCAAAACTCTGCCGCCCTCATTCTCACCCAAACCAAACTCCGCTTCCCGATCACCCCAGTCCTTGCCAGACTGCACTGACTCCCTATCCCAGAGAGGATCGATTTCAAGATCCTCACCCTTGTCTTCAAATCCCGCCACTCCTCCGCACCCCCCCTACCTCTCTGACCTCTTCTCTCCTCAAAACAGTGCCCGTTGCCTTCGTTCCTCCGGGTCTGGCCTCCTCCTTGTCCTCCGAGTCCTCCGCCGCTCCACCCTCGGTGGCCGTGCCTTCAGCCACTATGCCCCGAGGCTCTGGAACTCCCTTCCTCACTCCCTTCGCCTCGCCCCTTCTCTTCCTACTTTCAGGTCTCTGCTGTAGGCTTTTCTTTTCGACCGCGCCTTTGGTCACCTTCCTCCCCCTCCCCCTGGCTGGGCCCCGGGATCCGTTACTGTGAAGCATTCTGAGACGCCATCCGGCATGGAGGGTGTTATATAAGTTCAAGTTGTTGTTGTTGTTGTTGTTGGAGTGTCATCTTAGACCATGTGATTCCAAGTCCTGGCATGGGGCTTGAACCCACAACCTTCTGACTCAGAGGCGTCAGAGCTACCACTGCGCCAGGCTGACACACATGAAAAGTAAGTCATTCCACTCATTTGCCCCATTCAAGTCCCATTTTGGGGACTCTGAGCTCACAGCCCAGTCAAATGCCTAGTGCAGTGTTAGGGGAATGCTGCGTTATCAGCGGTGCCGTACGTCAAGTGAGACGTTAAACCGAGGCCTCGTCTGCCTGTCCAGGTGGACATTAAAGATCCCAATGTACAAAAAAAGAAAGGATTTTCTTCCTGTGCCCTGGCCGACATTCCCTCGGATAAACGTTGTTACCTCACTTCACGGCTGTTTGTAGGATGTTGCGATGGGCAAATTGGCTGTTGCATTCGCCTACAAATACACAACAATAACAACAAATTACATAGCATCTTCCACCTCAGGAGGACGCCCCAAGGAGCTCGACAGTCAGGGAACCGCACCCGAACAGGTGGTTGGGATCGGGGAGGGTGGAGGGTAGAGAGCGTAGGGGTAGGAGTGTGACCAAAGGCACAGTTGAAGAGGGTCTTGAGATGGATCTTGAAGGAGACAAGGGAAGGGGCGAGGTGGAGGGACTGTGGAATGGAGTTTCAGAGGGTGGGGCAGAGAGGCTGAAGGCCCGCTTGCGAATGGTGGGGCGGTCACGGCAAGAGACTTGGAGCAGGCCAGAGCCCGCTGAGCGGAGGGAGTGGACAGGTTGGTAGGGGATTAGGAGGTCGCAGAGGTAGGGAGGAACAAGGCCAGGAAGGTTTTGAAGGTGAGGACCAGAATCTTGAACTGTATCCTCTGAATGATGGGGAGCCAGTGCAGTCAGGTGAGGATGGGGGTGATGAGGTCATGGAGCTGGATGGATGATGATGTCACCAAGGGGGAGCATGTAGATGTTAAAAAGAAGAGGACCAAGGACAGAGCCCTGAGGGAGCCACACATGTCGGTGCAAGGGTTGAAGAGAAGGCGAAAGTGGAGACAGTGGGAGAGGCAGGTTTTGAATGGCAGGTCCATGAAAGGAGAGGGGGTGAAGGAGGATAGAATGGTCGACAGTGTCGAAGGCAGCAGAGATGTCAAGGAGGCAGAGATAGCCCTGGTCACAGATGGACAGAGTGTTGTTAGTGACTTTGACAGTCAGCACACTTCACAGTGAATCCTGTGAAGCGCTTTGAGACATACTCCCAATGGGATAGGTACTGTATACCAAATTTAAGTATTATTATTATTGCGTATGTTAAAGGTGCCCTAATATTATTGATAAGGGAGTTTCTCCTGGTGTCCTAGCGAAAAAACAGTTTGAAGGGCAGGAAGAGTGATGCTGCTGTGGGTCAGGTCTGGCTGTGCTCCCAGCTTAATCATAGGGCCGATCACCTCCTGGTTCATTCAGTGACTGACTGCCTCTCTCTCTCTGCACCCCGACAGGTAATGTGACACCGACCGGCTCCGCGTCTCAGATGGCAAGTGGGATCAGTCTGGTCTCCTTTAACAGCCGCCCTGAGGGCATGCACCAGCGCTCCTACTCCGTCTCCAGCGCCGACCAGTGGAGCGAAGCCACCGTCATCGCCAGCTCTGGGATCAGCAGCGGTGAGCGTCGCAGCCTCCCGGACCCCCAGGGAGAGGGAGGGGAAGGGGCGGGGGGGAGACAGTCGAATCAATGGTCACATCTTTCGTTTTCACAAATTTAGATTTAAATTTAAAACAAACTGTCCAATTAATGTTATGACTCGGCTGCACTGAGATCTCAGATAGAAAACCCGCTGTTCAGAAAGCGAGAGAGAGACGCTGTCCCTGGAAATCAATATCTCTTCACGACTGGATTGTCAGTCACAACCAATACATTCCTGCCAGGGCTGATCCGGTATGTGTTTTGTCTGTCAGATACAGGTGACCATGTTTCCCGAATCCAGAATCGCTCAGTTGAAGTGTGCTCCAAGCTCTGTGTGATTGGACAGCTGATCCTGGAGAAACACTAGCATGTTCCTCTCCCACTCCCCGTTTATTACTGGACCTTTCCTGGTGCAAGCCAATTCATGTTGGATCTCCTGGGATGGTCCCTCCAAGCACCAAGGAGAGTCAGTTGAAGAGGCAAACAAAGAGGGAGATGAGGAAAAGTAAATAAGTGGTGTATGCCTTAATCCCTTATTGATTCGGATGAGCAATGGTTTGTCAGCCAACATAACTAATACACGCTAAACCTGCCTTTATATCACGTTTAAAGAGAAATTAGATATTGATATTGCATACACTTTCACTTTGTTAATTGGAAAGAATGTGAAGGAAAGCCAGTAATTCGTTCCAAAGGAAATGCATTGATCAGTCATTGGAGGTGTCAGCGGTGTAACAAATATACATTTGTGTTACTGAATTATTGAGCGCAGATCATGGCTATTGACTGGTTCAGTCTGCATCCTGTCTTTTCAAGCGCTGCTGGTAATCCCCAACCGAGAAGCCAGTGGCTCTCTTTACCAAGAGTTGGTCTTGCATTCTCGTGATGTTTTGTACGTGTTAGCCTGGCTCAGTCGGTAGCACTCTCAGCTCAGAAGGCTGTGAGTTGGGGCTTTGAACACACAGCTCAGACTGACTCTCCAGAGCTGGGGAGCATTGCATTGCCGACCTTTGGATGAGACGTTAAACCGAGGTCCCGTCTGCCTGTTCACGTGGACGTTAAAGATCCCATGGCGCTATTCAAGAAAGGAGTTTGTCTTCCGACATCCTGGCCAAAAATTCCCCAACTCAGATAAAATTGGTCATTCGCTTCATGGCTGTTTGTGGGACATTGCTGTGCGCAAACTGGCTGCCCAGTTTCCTACAAAACACGCACTCACAACACTTTACAGTAAATCTTGTGAGGCGCTTTGGGTCGTCTCAATGAGGTGCTAACTTGCTGTATCAAAGACGAGGAGTATTTATTGATAGAACATTTGGTTTGTGACCAGTGAGAGATGCGGCCAGTGAGATTAAACTCAATCTCTCACTCAGCACACATAAGAACAATTCATCATTGCAGCCCAGCTCGGATCATTAAAGACTAAATGTGCCTGGAACCAGAACGGTTACAGGGAAATCAACAGACAAGTGTCACTGGTTGAGCTCGTGTGGGGCAAGTATCAGGGATCATTTTTCTAATTAAGCTTAGGCTTGTGTAAAACATTGCTCACCACTGGATCACATATATGTTCTGTGCCTGTACGTTCTGTGCCCTGCCCGCGTTACACCCAGCGATCAGCAGTAGTCCGAGTCTCATGGTGTTGGTGAGGAGGAGCTCCAAGCAGGGGAAGGCCTCTCAGACCTCAGGAGCACAGGGGTGGGGGGAGGGGGTTTGTTTCTACAAACCAAAACTGCCTTCGTCTTCCCCAGTGAGCAGAGCTTTTGTGTGTAACTTACAAAAGCAGCGGATATTTTGGAAGCTGGAGCGTTTTACTATCCTTATTAAGCAGCGATTGTTGTTCCCCAGGGCCCAGGCCGTTTAAGGAGATCCCGTGTATCATTAGATAAATGGAGCTGGAGGAGGCCGAGCTGAGAAGTAAGAGATGCAAAGTTAAATTGTGAGCAAAATACTGCCGAGAGCAACGAGCCTAGTTCCCAGTAACTAACTGCCTGTGTAGATTTATCACAGCCTCATTCGATCCAAGGCTCAGACTCCAATACACCTTCCACTGTTTATCATGCTAATGGTGTCACAGGCACTGAGCGCATCAACTTATAACAATTTGCAAAGGGGTATTTGCCCCGTCCCTCAGTGAAAAGGCAGTTTGATTTCCATCGTGCAATGTTTTATAAACTAACAGCCAGTGACACTTGTCTGTTGATTTCCCTGTAACCGTTCTGGTTCCAGTCACATTTAGTCTTTAATGATCTGAGCTGGGCTGCAATGATGAATTGTTCTTGTGTGCCAGGGCTGAGCGAGAGATTGAGTTTAATCTTCGGTTATTATTTCCAGCCTGTGCTAACACCATATGCAGTAAATTGTGCTTAGAGAAGTGGAGTGGTTGGTGAGCTCAGTTCTCCTTAATGTGTTGCAAAGAAAGATAGAGAGGATTCTATCCAGCTCTCTCTCTGCCAATATATCGATTATATATGGAGTCCTGTAGCGAATAGGTTGCTCGCAAGAAAGAGAACCAGAGTTTGATTCCTGGGCAAGACGAAACCTTAGGCAAGTTCCCTTACTCCACACGCCCCTGTTTACCTAGCAGCAAGTAGGAGCCATGTTGTTAGTTGATTGGCGGATCGCTTTCCAGGGGTAATAATCCCTTAAAAAAATTGTGGTCACTGAATCCACGACTGTTTGTGAAACACTGTTGTTTCACCCACAAGCATACACAGTCAATTCACTTTACAGTATATTCTGTGAAGTGCTTTAAGACGTCTCAACAATTGATCTGACCAGCAACAACGACCACTTGCATTTATAGAGCGACCTTCACGCGGGTAGCAGTAGAGTTTCAGAGCGCTTAACAGTGGTGTGGTTTGAAGCCAAGCTGGAAAGGGAGGGGAGGTAGTCGAAGGAACGGTTGAAGAGGAAAGTCTTCAGGTGTACTTTGAAGATGGGCAAAGAGGGGGCAAGATGGAAAGATTGAAACAGGTAGTTCCAGAGATTCGGGGTGTAGTGGCTGAAAGTATGGCCACCAGTTGTGGAGTAGAGGGGATGGGAGATGAGCAGAAACCCTGATCCAGCTGAATGGAGGTGGTGGGTAGTGGAATGGGATGTGAGCAGATCAGAGAGATGGAGAGGTGACAGGGCATGAAGAAATTTGAAAAGTGAAAGTGAGGATCTTGAAACCAGCAGGTTTTGTCCTGAGCACATTCAATGTGTATGTTCCCTCCTTCCCCCCTTCAAAGACACGTACTCCTTTGACCACAGTTTGGATCACCTTCTCCCCACCATCCCCCTTGGCTCCCACCCCCGGCCCGGATGCCCAGCCAGTCCTGTTATGCACTCCCAACGTGAAAGGATGTGTACAAATGTAAATTGTATTGATCTAAAACTAGGGGTCATCGTCTCCGGATTAAAGGTCAGCCCTTTAGAACTGAGTTGAGAAAACATTTATGGAATTGTCTATCCCAGAAGGTTGTGGATGCTCAGTCATTGAACATATTCAAGACTGAGATTGATAGATTTTTAAAAGCTAAAGGGATATAGGGATACAACAACAACAACAAAATTACATTCATGGAGCGCCTTTCACATCAGGCTAGGGCAGGTAAATGGAATTAGGTTAGAAGATCAGCCACGATCTTACTAAATGACGGGGCAGGCTCGAGGGGCCAAATGGCCTACCCCTGCTCCTATTTCCTATGTTCTTATGTAGGTTTCATTGCATCAGCCCGGCTCAGTCACACAATCACCTCTGGATCAGGACCCATGTCCAGACTTCAGCTCACAGTCAAAGCTGACACTCCAGTGCAGTGCTGGGGGAGCGCTTCATTGTCTGTGAAGTGCAGTGACTGTGTATTTTGTAGTCAAAAGGAGAGGGACAACTGGCCCAATAAGAAGATGGTAAAGCTCCGTCTTCCTCACATGCACAGATGAGCACACACACACATAGCACACACACATAGCACACACACAAACACATAGCACACACACATAGCACACACACACATACATAGCACACACACCCACATAGCATACACACATAGCACACACACACACATAGCGCACACACACACACACACATAGCACACACACAAACACATAGCACACACACATAGCACACACACATAGCACACACACACTCAACAACAACAACTTGGATTTATATAGCGCCCTCCACGCAGGACGGCGTCTCAGAGCACTTCACAGTAACGGATCCCCGGGCCGAGCCAGGGGGAGGGGGGGGGAAGGTGACCAAAGGTGCGGTCGAAAAGAAAGGTCTTCAGCAGAGACCTGAAAATAGGAAGAGAGGGAGCGAGGCGAAGGGAGTGAGGAAGGCAGTTCCAGAGCCTCGGGGCATAGTGGCTGAAGGCACGGCCACCGAGGGTGGAGCGGAGGACTCGGGAGACAAGGAGGCCAGACCCGGAGGAACGAAGGCAACGGGCACTGTTTTGAGGAGAGAGGAGGTCAGAGAGGTAGGGGGGTGCGGAGGAGTGGAGCGATTTGAAGACAAGGGTGAGGATCATGAAATCGATCCTCTCTGGGACAGGGAGCCAGTGCAATCTGGCTCGGATTGGGGTGATCAGGGAGCGGAGTTTGGTGCAGAGTTTTGAATAATCTGGATTTTGTGAATGGTAGTGGAGGGGAGGACGGCGAGGAGGGCGTTTGAATAGTCCAGCCGAGAGGTGACAAAGGCATGGACCAGGGTTTCAGCGGCTTTTGTAGTGAGGTATTGGTGGAGACGGGTGAGGCGTCAGAGGTGGAAAAAAGCGGTGCTGGTGAGGGACTGGATGTGTGGGAGAAAGGATAATTGGGGGTCGAACCTGACACCTAGTTTGCGTACAGGCGTCAGGTTCGACCACTCATAGAACACACACACGTAGCACACACATATAGCACACACACACATAGCACACACATTCATGGCACACACACACACAGCACACAAACTCGTGGCACACACACACACATGGCACACACACTCATGGCA